GAGTTCTAGTCCCGCCTTAGGCATGAAAGCCGGCTGGGTGACTTTGGGCCAATCACCAGGAGACGGGGAGTTCTAGTCCCGCCTTAGGCATGAAAGCCGGCTGGGTGACTTTGGGCCAATCACCAGGAGACGGGGAGTTCTAGTCCCGCCTTAGGCATGAAAGCCGGCTGGGTGACTTTGGGCCAATCACCAGGAGACGGTGAGTTCTAGTCTTGCCTTCTGGGTGACTTTGTGTCAGTCCCTCTCTCTCAACCCAGCCCACCTCAAAGGGTTGTTATTGTGGAGAAAAATAGGAGGATGGAGGAGTATCAGACTTGTTTGGCACCTTAAGTTATTTATACAGATAGTAAAGGAGGGATATAAATAAATAAATAAAGTTAAGAAGAGAGAAAGATGCTGCAAAAGGAGATAAGCCATACTACAGAAAAAGTAGTGATATCTGACTTTTTTCAGGGCAGCAGAATACAGAAAGAGTTACAGATTACAAATGTTGACACGACTAAATATTTCAAGCTACTGTTGAAGGAAAAGCCTTCATCGTGGTTCAGTCCAAGCTGGGAATAAACGACATGGCGACTGCTTTAGAAAGAAGGTTGCAGTTTATTGAAGAGGAAAGCCAGACAGAAAGATAGCTCTCGAAGAAAAGAGCGAGAGCACATGTAGGGAGTGGGTTTTTATACCCTCTGGAGCAGTGGGTCTCAACCTTTTTAATGCCTCGACCCCAACCGGTCGTAAGTCGAGGACTAAACCGGTCGTACGTCGAGGACTACCCAACCGGTCGTAAGTTGAGGACTTTCCCTGCCCGGGACCGCCGCGCATGCGTGGTTCCGCCCCCTGCGCCGGCCGAGGCGTAGCTGGCAAGCGGCAGAGACGGAGCAGGCCGACCACCAGCTGGCCCAGCTCAAGGGAGGTAAGGAACCCGCCGGAAAAGGGGGAACAAAATGGCGGATAGCCTTGCTTGGCGACCCCCGTGAAATGGTCAATCGACCCCAAATGGGGTCGCGACCCATAGGTTGAGAACCGCTGCTCTGGAGCCTTTTGTTTGGAGTTGTTTCCTGTTCCTGTTTGAGGCTTTGTATTTCCTGTGTCATGTATTCTGACCTGAGTCTGAGTGTGCCTCTTTGGCATTATGGGTTAATCCTATTATGTCCTGTCTTAGAGTTTGGGTGAGATATGTAGATTTTAGGTGTCTTTGTCTTCCTAAGCTTCTAGCTGGAGGGCTCCAACCTTCCTGAATGGATTATCACATCTGCATTTCTACAGAGCTGGTTTCTGCTTGGGGGAGGGAGACTTGGGGCTATTAAGAGAAAACTGGGCGTGCTTTTCTGCCTCTCTAAGATCCTTTAAGGAAATATAATATTCTGCCCTTTTAATATTTCCTTCTCTGGGTTGCTGACTTCCCACGCTATCATCATACTAATCAACTCCCTCTATTCATCTAAACCTAAAACATATATATTGACTTTATCCACAAGAGTAAAGTACAAAACGAAAAACAGAAATACGCACACCCAACACTAACAAAAAAGTTTTTTTTTTGGTCTGTCTGTATAGAAAAAAAGTGGGAGGGAAGACCCAAATGTCAAATAAATCTAACATTAAACATAAAGAATTCACCCCGGCTGGATGCTGAAAAAGAAAATAATGAAAAACCCTGACAGATTCTTCTCCTCTTACGTAATCGGTCTACCAATAGTTGTAAGCTTTTCCTTAATTTATAAAAATCACTTTATTAAACAAGCAAGTATTCCAGAGGGGAAAGTCTCTATCTAATAATAAAATTGACCCAACATCTAATCATAATATATATGCGGAAAATATAGGTAGTCCTCGACTTACGACCGCAATTGAGCCCAAACTCTAAGTTGTTAAATAAGATATTTGTTAACTGAGTTTTGTCCCATTTTATGACCTTCCTTGCCACGGCTCTTAAGTGAATCACTGCAGTTGTTAAGTTAGTAACAAGGTTGCTAAGTGAGTCTGGCTTCCCCCCATTGACTCTGCTTGTCAGAAGGTCGCAAAAGGGGATCACATGATCCCAGGACACTGCGACCGTCATAAATAGGAACCAGCTGCCAAGCGTCCGAATTTTGATCATGTGAACACGGGGGGGGGGGGTTGTGCTGCAACGGTCCTAAGTGTGAAAAACGGTCATAAGTCCCTTTTTTCAGTGCCTCTGTAACTTTGAACGGTCACTAAATGAATTGTTGTAAGTTGAGGACTATTCGTAGAAAAAGAAACAGTCAACAGGTGAACCCAAACATTACACTAATCTTCAGATTGTGAAGGCAGGACAAGAAGCAACGGAGGGAAACTCATCAAGGAGAGAAGCAACCTAGAACTAAGGAGAAACTTCCCAACAGTGAGAACAGTTAACCAGTGGAACTCCTTGCCTCCAGAAGCGGTGAATGCTCCAACATTGGAAGTTTTTAAGAAGAGACTGGACAGCCATTTGTCTGAAATGGTATAGGGTTTCCTGCCTAAGCAGGGGGTTGGACTAGATGATCTCCAAGGTCCCTT